AAGAAAATTTGGGTTGAATTCATTCAGGCAGGGCTTGAGTCGCAATCTTGGGGTTCCAGCATCCCAAACCTCTAGACCTCTTCAGTGGGTGATGGCTATATCTTCTAGGACCTGCAGTGAGAATGGACAGGAGAGTAATAGGCCCTGCATTGATAGTAAGACTTGAGATGTGATTATAGGGGCTCTGGGAATGATAGAGACAGCTTGCAATGTCTGGATTTGGGAGTGAGACTAGAGATGGGAGCTATGACCTTATGGCCTTGGGACTAGGGGGGAGATGCTCTGGCTATAGCTGGGTTGGATGCTAAAGTGGTCACTTCCTGTCTGGTAGAGTTAAAAGACAACGTTGGTCTTCCCAACATTACTAGAGAGTAGAAAGATAGAGGCCATTGACTCCCTTGCTAGGCTGGAAGTTGGAGTTGTTGAAATGGTGGATGAGAGGGGAAGGTACAGGGGTGTGCTGGAGCCAACTCCAGCTGGGTGAGCTAATTATTAAATCTTCAGTGTAAGCACATACACTTCAGAAATTGGCAAACACTGCAAGCTTGATATATTGGGTTTTTTTTTAATGATCTAGACTTAAAGTGACAGAGAAAAATGTTATTAATGTACATTAAACTTAAAAGAGCGCTGTGCATATATTTTTAAAAGCCAGTTGTTAAACATTTACTAGCATTCCCCTGGGGGTGGGAGAGGAGTGGAAACCATACCCCCTACCTAGAGTTCAGAGTATTGAGGTTCAGGGGCAGGTAATCTAGTTGCCCTAGCAATGCTCCTTTTACAATGATAATCAATGTGTGAAAGGTGGGATCTGTTTTCTGGGATTCATCCCAAGATGATGAAATTCTTGGAAGGAGCCCATCTCTCATACCTGGGAAATCTTGCAGATATTTTGGGTCATTTTGAATATTTATATCCACACCAAAATGGAATATCCCTGGCAAAATTATTCTGTCAAAGGGCTGAGTTAAACTCATACCAATTCCAATTGGGGATTTACAGAAGTGAAGGTCAGGGTCTGTAGAATAATCTGAGCTCTGACATAGGCTTTCATTGCAAGGGGCTACAATGCTTTTTTCAGTTCAGGGACAAGTCTGCCTAGTTCTTAATAAAGCATTGATTAAGGAAAGAGAGAAAGACCAATCTGTCAGCAACTCTGCCAATTTATGTCAGCAATCTCTGGGCAGCTAGAGAAGATGTGTGATGATTCTCAGGATGGGGCCAGATAATGAGTAGTTTCAGGCCCTGATTAAGCAGGAAACAAAAGGAGAGCCATAACTAGATTCCGACATCGATTAAGCAAGAGGAATTGATGCTGGCACTCTGGGTGCACTTACAGCATCTGCTCATACTGAGAAAATATTCAGGGAGGTTTCCAAGGAGCATATTCCCTTGGGAAAATCAGCTTCTGTGTCTTTGTCAGAGCAACAGTTTCAATAGCCATCGTCCAAAGTCTGAGAGAACAGTGAAAGGCCTTTGAGTTGTGAGTGTAAGGCCAGGCTTGCTTTCAAGAAATTCAAAAGTAAAAATTACAGGCATTTATTTTCATTAAGATAATCAAATCTTTTCCTTCTGGGACAACAGGCTCAATCAGACACTAATAATTCTGAGAGTTTCTTTTGGTTTTTTAATTGCATACTAGGATTGCTAATAAGATAGATATCATATTTTTATTAAAGTCCCAAAGGGAACCATAGTTACACAATTTTGCCTGAGTAGATTTTCTACTACTGAGAAAATACAAAGAATAACAATATGAAAGAAAGCAGAATTAGGCTTGTGGCCACAAGGACACATTTGCATGCTAGGTTGCACCAAATATACCAAAACCACGGAGTTAGTAAATATCAAGTAGCAACAGCAGCATCCTTTATGAATGAGGACCAGGGCAAGGGATCAGAGAATTCAAAAGCTGAAAAATGGTGACGCTGTTGGCTGGTTTGAGATGTCTGGGACAGCATGTGGAGTGAGTCTGTTATTCACAATAAATTCTGACTAATGGAATTAAAAAGGATCAGAGAGATGGCTTGTTTGAAGGGTAAATGGGGTAAAAATGAACAATTTGTTGTTGTTCAGATGTGTCTGACTCTTTGTGACCTGTGCACCATAGAATGCCAATACTGTCCAGGGGGTTTTCTTGGCAAAGATACTGGAGTGGTTTGCCATTTACTTCTCCAGTAGATTAAGGCAAACAGATGTTAAATGAATTGCTCAGGGTCACATAGCTAGTAAGTGTCTGAAAGAGGATTTGAATTCAGATCGTCCTGACTCTACGCTTGGTGCTCTATCCATTAAGCCACCTAGCTACCTTCGGGAAAGGAGACAACTATGTGCTAAAAAGACATATACGAGATAAATTGGGGGTAGTCTCGGAGGGAAGGAATTAATATTAATAAGAACTAGGAAAAGCTTCTTGCTGAAAGAGAAAATTTAGCTGAGATTTGAAGGAAGCTAAGAGGCAGAGATGAAGTGGAAGAGAGTTCCAGGCAAGAGGGACAGCCATTGAAAATGCTTGGAGTTTGGAGACGGAGTGTTTTGTGTGAGAACCAGCAAGAAATCCAGTATTACTGGATTGCTTAATTTGAGGCTCATTCTCACCAGCATTATCAACTGAGATCAATTTCTTGGTTCCCACAAATTAATGAATGAGTGACAATGAGTGAGTGGATAGATAGTGTCCCTCATCTCCACTGTCCTCAAGGTCAGAATCCTCTCTTTCTCTTTCTCAGGGGAAATTTTACTACTTTCCCAAAACTGATGAGAAAAGGAAAACCTCCAAAGCAAAAGCACCTAAAGTACTGTAGCTAAGGAGGGAGGGGCATGGTAACCAGGAATAAAGTTACTATTCACTGTATATTGTCCTCACCAGATCTTATCTAGAGTTATTTTATTTCTGAGGCCCACATTTTAGAAAGGACACTGATTAGTTGGAGACCGTCAAGAGAAGAAGTAGGATGGTGAAAGACCTCAAGTTCATGCCACCAGTCGAAAGAACTTAGGGAAGTTTAGCCTGTAAAAGAGAATACTTGGAGAAGTATGTCTTCTGTTACCTGGCAGTGATTTGACATGTTGTTTGGCCCTATAATGCAGAACTATGAGCAGGGCGTGGAAATTGCAAAGACATAAATGTAGGCTCGATATAATGAACAACTTTGTAAGGATTATCCAAATGTGGGATGGGATCCCCATCTATGAAGGCCTTCAAACAAAAAGTTGGATGTCTATTTATTGGGGATCTTGTCAAGATGGATTCTTTTTCAGGTTGGACTAGATAGCTATGATTTCTCTTCCAATTTTGAAATTCTATAATTCTATGGTATGTAATCCTAGGTTTAGGTCTGGAGCATTTGTGTAAGATTTTTCTCATTGGTGGAGAGAAGGATGATTCAATACTGTGTGCCTGTGTGAGAGGCAGAATTGACTCAAGAGATTGGAAGAGGAGAAGGCTTCCTTTCTCCTTTGAGAAATCACATTCATAGTTCTAGATCCTTTTCAGGGAGAAATCAAGAAAGAAAGATAAAAAGACTTTGAGAAGCAACAGACATGTAGGGGACTCAGTACCCTAACTAGTTCCTGATTTCTAGCTTGTCTCCTTTTAGGGGTGGTCCTGGCTCATTCCAGTACCAGGTTTGATATTGGTATGGAATGAGTTACTTGTAGGTCATTGATGTTTTTTTCTTTTAAAGAAGGCTTACCTCGTCCTAACATAGAAAGGATATTCAACAAGGATAATTGGCACTTAGCTCAAGTTGATGTGCATCCCCTTATCTCCATTTGGAAATGCATCCAGTCAGCAGGGCATAGTGGCCCCAGATCATGCTTCATAGCCTCTTACAACCATCCGCCATCGAACACTACAATTACAGTGGTCTAAGTTTAAGCTTACTCATCCCACGGAAGGCGTGAACTAGGTCCTTAGGGAACCCTGGCAGATATTAGTGCTATCATACTTCCAATAGAGACTTCGGAGAATTTCTCCTTGGGTGAGAATAGGGACTCTGTCTCTTTGTGTTGAGCTAAGATATCCCATTCCCACTTGTGTAGCTCATTCACACTAATATTTGTCTGGTATACTATAATCTGTATAACTTCTCTGATTTTTGTTGTTATGTGCTTGGATAATTTCATTTGTTATTATTTGTGGCCTTTGTATAACATGAATTTGGTGAGAAGGAATAGCCTCTCTACTCCACCACTAAAGCTCTACTGCAATCTAAAAACTCCTAGTTACAGAAAGCCTTTATCATTCTGATTACGGGGTAGAGAATTGATAACACTATTTAGGCCTGGGAAGGGCCAGGTAAAGTAAACAGCCACAAAACATTTTGTTGTTGAGTCGTTTTCACTGGCATCTGACTCTCTGTGACCTCATTTAGGGTTTTCTTGGCAAAAATACTAGACTGGTTTGCCACTTTCTTTTCCAGCTTTACAGATAAGGAAACTGAGGCTAACAGGGTTAAGTGATTTGCTCAGGGTCACATGGCTAGCAAGTGTCCGAGACAGCATTTTAACTCAGTGCCAGCACTCTTTCCACTTTGCCACCTAGCTGCCCCTACAAAAGGTATATGTAGATAAAAATTCATCTGCTTGCCATGATAACATGACTTTCCTACCATTCTTTTGTGTTGATGTACTGCTGTCTTCAGGAAGGCCATACTCAAAAACTTTGTACGATCCATGATTTTATTGGTGTGAGTAGTCCCTCTACTGTGAAAGCCTGATTACTAGTTGTGTGACCCTGGGCTTTTTCCAGCCTCAGTTTCCTCATCTGTAAAATAAAGGAATAAGAGAAATCCTTTCCAGCTTTAAATCCAAAACTATGTGGAGCTGAAATGAGCTGCAATCATTTGTCGTGCTTGAACTTAAACTGTGACTAAGACAAGATAGGTCTTTTCATGATTATTGTTGCCAGGAGGGCCATTTACAGCACCTAGGCCGGACCACCATTGAGCAAGCGCACTCAGGGCGGGTAGGGGATACAAATCCTTACCCAGAGGCAGCGTCTTCCGTAGGGATCACCCGGACGACGTTGGGATGGGCCGGATCCCGGAACCTGCGACTAGAGCCGACGGCTTCCGGCCGGCCTTTTTAGAACGGTGCACCGACCGAGGCCGGCGGGCTATGAGAAGGCCGGAGCCAGGCCCGGAGCCGAGCATGGAGGGGGACGTGCTGGACACGCTTGAGGCTCTGGGGTGAGTAGCTTTGGGGGGGCTTTCCCCTCGGGGCAGAGCTCCGCTTCGCCTTCTTCTCCGGGCCTTTGCGGGGCACCTTGGGCAGAACCTTTCCCGGAGGTTGAACTGCGCGGGCCTGGGCCGGGAACGGCGTCGACGGGGTTAAATGGGAAGGGGGCGAGGGGTCCGGCTTCCCCCGGAGTCTAGAGCTAGGCTAAGGCCGAGACCGAGGCTGGGGAGGAGTGTGGTGTGTATGTGTGGGGGGGTGTTTCTTCTTTTGAGGGGAGGGGGCAGGTCCCAAGCGCCATTGACACTCCTCCTCTCTGGTCTCCCGCCTTTCTCGTCCGTCTTCTTTACGACCCTATTGTCCGGCCGCCTCGAGCACGTCCCGCCTCCTCGTGGCGGCCGCCCGCCTAACGGGACGAAGGAACCACACTGGGAGCCCGCGCCTAGCCGCAGGAAACGCCTCCCGTGGAGACTTTCCGGTGAACGGGAGGGGGGGGTTGGGAATCACCCGCTCCGCAACCCCCCCCCCCCGCGCGTCCCGCTGCTAGGGACCGTCCAATGGAAACTTTCTTGAGGCCGGTAGGTGGCGCAGCGGAGAAAGCGCCGGCCTGGAGTCGGGAAGTCCTCATTTCAAACTCAGCCTGGGATGCTTTCTGTGGGACAAGTCCCTTCACTTCTGTCTGTCCTAGTTTCCTCATCTGTAAAACGAGGAATAAAAGCACCTACCTCCCGGGGTTGTTGTGAAGATCAAAAGAGATAATAGTTGCAAAATGCTTTACAAACCTTATAGCACTCTGTAGGGTGTCCCAAAGCTCTTAGTGCAGTTTTAAGCTTTATTGTTATTAGTATTATCATCTAACATTTACACTGAGCGTCCCAAGACCTTTAGTGCAGTTTTAAATTTTATTATTAATAGTAGTGTTATCATCACCTAGCATTTATGTAGGTTGTCCCAAAACTCTTAGTGCAGTTTTAAGTTTTATTATTATTATTGTCTCTGTCTATCATTTATACTAGGTGTCCCAAAACTCTTAGAGTAATTTTAAGCTTTATTATTATCATTTTTAGTATTGTCATCACCTAGCATTTATACAGGATGTCTCAAAACTCTTAGGGCAGCATTAAGCTTTATTATTAGCTGGCATTTATACAGGGTGTCCCAAAAGTAGACTGCACTAAGACTTTTGGGACATCCTGTATAAATGGTAGTTATTTTTATTACAGCTACTACCACCACCACCACTTTTTCCCTGAGGCTATAGTAAAGGTATTTCCTTGAGTGAATGAACATGGATTTTAAAAGGCATTTATTCAACACTTACCACATACTAAGCATATAACTAGAAAAGATGAGGCAGTCTCTGCTCTCCAGGAGTTCACATTCTAATGGGAGAGAGCATAAATGGAGGGTTCCATCTGCAAGTTAGATGCCTTAGTAGAACTGCTTTGTTTCATTTGCTTTTATTCGTTGCGTGGTGTCCAACAAAGTTTATCCCAGGGGCTGGCACATAGGAGGTGCTTAATAAATGCTTGCTGATTTGCCTCTTCCCCTTGCAGTGACAGCACTTGGTCACAGAGTGTACTTTCTGCTGAGTAGAGGGAGAGCATTCAGTTTTAGGAGTGCTGGAAATGATCAACTTAGCAGCAGACTCTGTGGGATCAAAAGGTTGAAATTTTAGTGAGGCTGTTAGTTTACTTGATGAGGGTATGGGCCTATGATTTCATTGGTGTAGGAACTTCAGATGAGGAAACTCCTTGTACTAAAGTTTTTTTGGTCAGTGTAAGGACCAAGAGAGTGAAGTGACTGGCTGTAGGTTGCCCAGACGTTGGGCCTTCAACTGAAGTCGTCCAGACTCACAACACCAGCCCTCCATCCACAATTCCAAAAATGACTCAACAGTAATAATAACAATAATTATAATAACTGACATTTATGTAGCACCTTTGATCCCATCCCTTTTGGCTTCTTTAGCACATTGCCTCTACTGTCACTTCCACTCATACTCAGAGTTACTATCTACTGGGTACTTTCCTACTGCCTACAAACATGTCCATGTCTCCCCCTTCCTTAAAAAACCCTGGCTCTATCCCACCATCTAGCTGTCTTTTCATATCTCTTCACCCCTTCTAGGCTAAACACCTTGAGAAAGTGGTCTACATGAGGTACCTTCACTTCACCTTTCACCTGCTTATTGGCACCCCCTTCCCTCCACTATCTGGCTTCTGACCTCATCATTCAGTTGAAACCACTTTTTCCAGAATTGTCAGTTATCTCTTAATAGCCAAAACCAGTGGTCCACTCTCAGTCCTCATCCTTCTTGACCTGTCTTTAGCTTTTGATACTGTTGATTACTCTACCTCTTGTATATTCTCTTCTCCCTAGGTTTTTGTGACAGTGCTCTTTGCTGGTTCTCTTCTCACTATCTGACCACTCCTTTACAGTTTCCTTGACTGTATCTTCATGTCATACCTACTAACAATGGATTTCCCCCAAGACTTTGTCTTGGGCCCTATTTTCTCTCTATACCAGGGGATCTTAACCTGGAATCCATGGGGTACATAGATAGATTTCAGGATGTGTGTGAACTTGGAGGGAAAACAATACATTTTTACTTCAGCATAATTTGTTTCCTTTGCAATAGTATGTGTTTTATCCATTTAAAAACATGATTCTGAGCTGGGGTTCATAGGGTTTCACTAGACTGCTAAAAGGGTCCATGACACAAAATTGTTCACATGAAGAAACCCTGCTCTGTACTTTGTCATTTGATAATCTTATCCACTCTCATGGGTTCAGTTATCATTTTTATACAGATGGTTTCCAGATCAAGATATCCAGCCTCAGCATCTCTCCTAAGCTCTAGTTCCTCACTGCCAACTGCCTTTTGGGTATCTCTAGCTAGATGTCTCATAGGCAACCAAATCCTCCCTCCTTCCCAACTCTTCTGTTATTATCAAGGGCATAGACTTCCTTCCAGTCACCCAGGCTTGTGGCATTGGTGTCATCCCAGATATCTCAGTTGTATTCACCTCACAAATCTGTCTTCAGATCTTCACCTCATTTCTGGAACACTCCCCCTTTTCCTCTCTGACCCAGCCTTACACCCTGCTGCATGCCCTTATCACATATCACCTGGATTATTGCAGTAGACTGCTGGTGGGTCTACCTAGCTCAACTCTCCCCACTCCAATCTATCCTCCACTCAGCTGCGAAAGACGTTTGCCTTTTGGCTTGACGCTGTCACCCCACTGCTTTTTGCCTGTTATGAGGATTAAACGACATGATTTGTGTGAAAGCATCTTGAAAATTCTAAAAGAGCTTTCTGGGTCCCTGGCTTTGAGAGGTGAACCTTTTGCCTTACCTTTCTGAAAACCACTTCACTGTCACTTCTTGCAGATGCCTCACTCTGTGTGTGTGTGTGTGTGTGTGTGTGTGTGTGTGTGTGTGTGTGTACCCATTCCCTTCTCTTCCCCTCAACTTTCTAGCAAGCCTTTATTTATTGTCTTCTCCCATTAGAATGTAAACTTCTTGAGGGCAAGAACTGTCTTGTTTGCTTATATTTGTATTCTCCAGCTTAGTACAGTGCCTGGCACAGAGTAAAGGCTTGATAAAAGCTCTATCAATCCATCTATTAATATATTAGGTGTGTGAACATACATGTAACTGAAAATAAGGCCATTAAGAAGAAACCATGCCTAACCCTGTATGATGTTTCAACAGTTATGCCAGATGCCAACTTGTAAGAAAAGTCAAGTATTAGTTACTCAGAATTATGTTGCTCTAGTTTTACTTCTTTATTCTTTTCTTTCCAGGTATGATGGTCCTCTCTTGGAAGAACAAGCACTTATCAAAGCAGTAGAAAGTGGCCTGTCCTCACCTGAATTTTCAGAGCTCTGCATTTGGTTAGGATCTCAGATAAAACTATTATGTGACTTAGAAGAAAGCATTTCTTCAACAGCCGGTATTTCCATTGAACCTTGTTTACTTTTTTGTTCAGTTGTAATATGTAGTTAAACCTTTTTTTTTAATTGTTTCCTTAGCTTTATTCTTGATGTACAAAGAAATTATTTAATATTTTTAGCATTTGACGATTGGAATCAGTTTGGCTTATTGGAAAATGTGAGGAAGTTTATAACTTTAAGGATATTTGAGTGTAGAAAAACAATATATCAAAATTGTTAATCCAATTTAAATTTATCCAGAATTGATGATTACAGTTTATATTCAAAGTAAATGTTTTTCAGATATCTTAAATACCATTTTGGTCTTTAATTTTTAAAAGAGACATAATCTGAACATGTTAATTCAAAGTCTTTTTTTTCTAGTCCATAGACAATATAAAACAAAAGTTTGATAAAACAAACAAACAAACAAAGGTCTTTCCCCAGAAATCAGATTGTTAGCTTGTTTGAACTTTTTATACCTCATTTGCTACGGAGCAGCTCCAAGTTTCAATGACAGTGAGAACAGTAGTTACCATGGCTCTATATATGACATGTTTTTCATGGAAGGACTACTTGTATATATTGTATTGAACCAAATCTCTAGAAGAATCTATTTTGACTATACGTAGAAAACTTTCTGAATTAGCATTCATACATAGCAATCAACAGTCAACATAGCAGCAAAACAGGCTGCTATCATATGACTTCAGAGAATAAAAACGAGCAATTAAATTCAATCCAAGGATTGTACAGAACGGAATATACACGCAGATAGGATGCAAGTTGTTAATTTGTTATAAAGTTAGTGAATATGTGATGGTGGTCCCACATGGTTTTATGTAACATGGTGACAGACAAAAGTTTCAAATCATCTCTTTATACAGAAAAGTATGTTACATGTTTAAAAAAATTATAGTGATTCAGTTATGAAAATGCTCATAAGCTCTGACTTGTCAAATTAATGTCCTTATGTTAAATTGTCAAGACAAGCAGCTAGTCATTTTTCAAACAGATTAAAAATTTAATTTTCAGTTGTCTTTACCTAAACTTGGCACCATATACATGTGAAGATATAATTTGAAACGAGGAGGAAAAATGTAAGTTAATAATTTGGAATTAAATATGAGACTCATTTCAAGATCACAGAATTTGAGAGTTGAGAGAGATTCCAGCAACCATCTAGACTAAACCCATCCACAAAAGGAATCCCCAGTATAACAAACGAAGTACATGGTCATCTGACTCTCCCTGAAGACCTCCAAGGAGTTGAGGAGCCCATTACTTCCTGAAGCCTTCTGTTCTGTTTTTGGACTGCTTTAATTAGTCAGCAGGCAGCTAGGTGGCGCAGTGGATGGAGCACCGTACTTGGAATCAGAAGAACCTGAGTTCAGATTTGACCTCAGACACCTACTAGCTGTGTGACCCTGGGCAGGTCACTTAACCCTATTTGCCTTAGTTTGCTTATCTATGAGCTGAAGAAGGAAATGGCAAACCACTTCAATGTCTGCCAAGAAAACTCCAGAGAGGGTCGCAAAAAGTCAGACACGCTTGGAACAACTCAACAACAGCAGCAGCAGCAGCAAATAGCGATTTTTTCCTGGCATTGTTTGTGACTTCCACCTGTTGCTCTGTATTCTGCCCTCTGGGGTCAAACAGAACAAATCTCATTCCTTCTCCACAGTATAGCTCTTCGTATTGTGGGAAACCTGCTGTCATGTCCCTCCTTGAGTCTTTTCTTGGCTAAACAGCTCCAGTTTCTCAAGACCCTTCAACATCCTGGTGGCTTTTTTCTTGGTAGAATCCAACTTATCCTTAAAAAGTGGTACCCAGAACTGGAAAATAGCCCAGGTGAAGTCTGACAGGGCAGGGTGTAGGGTGACTATTTCCTTTCTATTGCTGGCATCATTTTCTCCCTTAATGCAGCCCAAGGTCACGTTATCTTTTTTGGCTGCTACATCACATTGCTGACTTACTGAGTTTGTAGTACACCAAGACTCCCAGATCTCTCAGAAAAAATATTGCCTAATCATGCCTCCTCACTCTTAGCTTGTGAACTGGATTTTTTTTTTTTGGTACCCAAGTGCAATACTTTACATTTATTCTTTTTGAATTTCATTTTTAAAAATTCATTCTAATATCTGTCATCCAATGTGTGAGCTACCCTTCCCCAGTTTAGTGCAGTTTGCACATTTTCAGTTTGCGTATCATCTATACATTTTCTCAAATCATAGATAAAAAATGTTCAACAGTAAAGGACCAAGCACAAATCCTTGGAGCTCTCTACTGGAGCCTTCTTGCCAAGTTGACATTCAACCATTAACAGTTCCTCTTCGACCATCCATCAGTCCTGAATCTGTTTCCTTGTGTTGTTTAATCTATATCTTTCAGTCTTCTTTACAAGAATAATCAGATATTTATCAAAGCTTTTTTAAAAATCTAGGTAAGCTGTGTTGACAGCACTCCCCTCTTCTACTAGTTTAGTGATGCTGTCTTAAAAGGAAATAAGTTGAGTTTGGCATTACTAGTTTTTGGTGAGCCATTCTTCCTCTTAGTAATCACTACTTCCCTATCTCGATATTTACCAACCATCCCTTTAATGATCCATTCTAGAATTTTCCCAGGAATCAGTCATGCTTAATGGCCTGTAGTTTGTAGACTTGTCTTCCTATTTTTTGGAAATTGGAACATATTTGCCCTTCTCCATGTCCGTTTTCTGTGAGTCAGATACCACTTAGAGTGACTCAGCAATTACATTTCATACCTCTTTTTGGACTTGAGAATGTAGTTCATCTGGGCCAAATGACTTGAATTTATCATGGATAGCTAGGTGCTCTCTTACTATGGCCTTACTCGGTATCAGCTCTCTCATAGTGATTTTTTTGTTTTGTCATTTTCAGTGTAAAAGTCATTCTCCTTTGCTTAGAAAACAAAATAAATATTCAGCAGCTCTGCCTTCTCCTTTTGTCTACCCTAAGCAAAGGACCTACCCCTCCTTTGACCTTCATTTTTCTCCCAGGTTTTCCTTAGCTTCCTTTGTCAACCTCAACTCATTTTGAGATTTAGCATTCCTGACACTGTCTTTACATTTCATAGGTAATAGCTGCCTTACTGCTTTACTAAAAATTTCAGTTTGAAGGGAACTCAGAGGCTGTCTAGCCCAATCCCAATGTGAAAGGGATTTTCTTTTTAGTATCCCTGATAAGGCATCATCCAGCTTCATCTTGAAGACCTAGAGAGATGGGGAACTCCTCTCTTAGGCAGTGTATCCCACTTTTTGGACATTTGTCTTTGCAGCTTCTGCTGCATTGTACCTGATTTTATCCTCTGGAGTGAAATGCAACCAGTCTGATGTCTTACCCACATGATAAACTTTTGAATACTTGAAAACAGCTATAACCCCACTAGCTTTTTTCTCCCCTTGGGGAAATATCCACTGGTAACACCCATCTGATTCTCCTATAACATTTGACATGGTTCTAAAACCCTAGTTGCATTCTGGAAATGCTCTGGCCTGTCAGTGGCCCTCAGCATTGAACACAATACTCAGATGTGGCCAGAATATGGTGGAACTTATAACTTTCTTTTATTTATTTGTGTGTGTGTGTGTGTGTGTGTATGTGTGTGTGTGTGTATTTTTATATATATGTATATATGTGTGTGTATATATACTACTTTTATTCAGTGTCTTAGAAGGTTAGATCTAGTAGAAACTTAAAACTTATCTAAGCTCAACCTTTTCTTTATACAGATGATGAGACTTAGAGAGGCCTGCCTGATTTGCCCTTGGTTACAGAGTGAGTTAGTAGTAGAACAGAATCTAGAACAGGACTCTTGGTTCCCAGTTCAGTGTAATTTCTACTAAGTTACATTATTGCAAAAGAATTTATGGATAGAATGAAATACCACAATGCTGCATTAAATTCTCAGCACAGAAAGCCAAGAGACCTACCAGATGCTTGAGGGCTAAAGCCTACCTGGGGAACCAATTTATAATACATGAAGCATGCAATTTGTCCAATATATCACCCAGTCTAGATGCTTTTGGTAGTTTTGTGTTTGTTAAATACTTGTTGGTTCCTAGGTCATTCTTCCTATCTCAACCAGCCAAAAAGTATTTATTAAACACCAGATTTGTACTAGGAACTGATTATTCCCTGACGGAAGCAAAGTAGTTAAGTACCTGACTTGCTGTCTTCTTCTCCACCTCAACCCTTTTCCATGTTTATACATATTGGAATTCTTGCTCTTGGAGTAGAATACTTGCGGTGGGTGATTCCTGGGGCCGAATTCATCAGTTTCCTTAATTCCCTTAACCTGTCTTTTTTGCTACGTCACCCAAAGGTATTCCATTTTCATGGCCAAGAATCTGAAATTCTTTTATCCAACCATAATTCCCTTGTCATTCTCCTAAATCTGTGTATACTTATTATGGTTTCTAGTCCCTCACCCCTTAGTATTCTCCCAGGACATTTTTCATCTTTGTTCCTGCTTCACTTTTCTTTCTTCTCAAACTTGACAGTGTAGTTAACCAGTCAACTGTAAAAAGTCCACTACTTTTGAATTTCTTATCCTAGCACCCCTTATCTGTTGCCAGGCCCTGATCTTAGATTATTCCCATTGTCTGATTCCTGTGCTTCTACTTTTATGGAAATCATGTAAAAACTTGTTGTCTGGGTCCACTGTGTATTGGTTATCTAATCTCAACTGGTACCTTGGAGTGACAAGCCAACACTTTTACATCTACTCCAAACAAAAGCTACTTTAACCTTCTTTTCTTTCTTCCAGCCTCCCACACCACCTCTTCCCCAACCCTCTCAGCAGAGGCCCTTATTTTATCCTTTACTGAGAAAATAGAGGTCTTTCTCTTTAAGTTCTCTTTTCTCTCTAAATCTCAAAACTTTTTGATATCATCCCTATTCCATCGTCCTTTATTCTAGTGTATGAAGAAGAGATGGCTTTTTTAAAAAGTAAAGGCCAGTATCCCTACTTGTACCCTGATCTCATCCAACAGAGGATAATTTGAATAATTTACAATTATCCACACTCCTCCTCACCACCAATTCTCAATCTCCCTCTATACTGATGCATTTGCCTTCAAAAACACATCTAGGTCTCACTCAGAAAGACCCTCACAGGACCCTACTGTGTCCTCCAGCTATTTCCATAGCTTACCCTGTATCGCCATAGTTGCCAGTGATCTCTTAATTGCCCAATATAGTGGCCTTTTCCCAATCCTTGTCTTTGCTGACTTCTCTGTAGCATTTAACATGGACTACCTGATCTTCCTGGATAGTGTCTCTTTTCTAGGTTATTATGACTTTGTTCTTTGCTGGTTCTTCTCTTACATAACTGCTCCTTAGTCTTCTTTGCTAGCTCCTCATCCATGTCATATCTCATAAATGTGTATGTAGCCTGGGGTTCTGTCCTGGGCCCCTTCCTCTCTCTGTACAGTGACTTCAGCTATCATTGATTCAGTTATGATCTCTATTCAGATGTTTCCCAGGTTTGTTTATCCAGCCCTAGTCTCTCTTGAGCTTGAGTCCTGCATCACCAGCTACCTGTTACTCATTTCATACTGGATGTCCCATACATATCTCAAAGTCACATGTGCGAAACAGTTCCCCCGACTCACTGTTCTTACGAACTTGCCTGTTTTAGTCAAAGTCACCACTGCTCTTCTAGTTGCTAAGGGTTGTAACCTCAGGTTATCCTTGACTCTACTCTTCCCTCATACTTTCTCCCTATATAATTAGTTAACAAATCTTCTATCTCTTGTGTCTGATCTGTTCTTTCCACTCAAACAGCTACTACCTTAGTCCAGTCTCTCATAGGACCTTTTGCTTAGACTATTGGTCTTTTTGCCTCATCCTGCCTCTCTGCCTTCTATCTTCCACATACATACCTGCCAAGTGATTTTCTTAAAAGTACATGTCTGAGCATGTCAGTCCACTTGCTTAAATAAACATCAGTGGCTCCCTCTTGCCTCTAGGATTAAATAAAAATTCCTTTGTTTGGCATATAGGTACCTGTTGTCTTTGTCAATAGAACATAAGATCTTTCAACAAAGGAGCCATTTCATTTTGTCCTTGTTTCTCCCAGGGCATAGCATAGTGCCTGGCATATAGTAGATACTTAATAAATACATGTTGATTAGTGCCTTCATTAGGAAATCCTGCTTTCTACCATGTCTTTCAGTTTAATTTTCACCTAAGTTGAGAGAGTATTTTATTCATTTTGCCTAGGTGGTCAGTGTATGTTCGATGAATTATTTTTTATCTTTTTCTTTAAAGGAAGTGAAGATACAGAGAGCTTCCAGCTTGAGATAAGTGGCTTTCTGAAAGAATTATCCTGTCCCTATTCAACACTCATCTCAGGAGACATTAAAGATCGTTTAAAAAAGAAAGATGATTGTTTGAAACTCTTATGTAAGTTATATCTTACTCAGCGTACTTGAGCGATTTGTATTGTTTTTAACCTGTTATTTATATATGTTATTTATTTATATACATGCATGTATGTGTCTGTTCACTTACAAACAAACATATGTTAAGTAGTATGAAACTGATTGTATTTCTCAAAGGCTTTGCAGGACAGCATTTAAATACAGATCAGAGATGGAGTGACTGTATGTTGTCCAAAGATAGAGTTTAGGCCAAAAGGTGAGCCATGTGTTGAAGGCTTGCTACAAAGGTATAGAACAGTTGCAGGCTGTTTTGGCGGAAAGAGTTATTACCCCCACAGATGAAATTATAGATCCTTAAAACATTTATGTATGTACGTTCTGGTATCTCTGAGATCAAGATTATTATAAAATTTCACTAGTAGAATATGGATTTTTAATCATAATATTGAAATTGGTTTAATTTGTCCTGTTTTAATAGGTAGTATATTTTAGTCACACTTGCATTTTTCTGATTGTGGTAATAGAATATTAGCCAGAATTTGTAAAGCTTTTGATTTTATTTTACATAGCTCTGTGTTGTTTTTGTTATATTTAATCTCTTCATGTTTATAACTTTGACGTGTCGTATTTTTAGAGATCTGGTAGTAATTAACATGAATTAAAATTTTTTTTAATGAAAGGCAGCTTGTGAGAAAGTGTCAGACTTGGAGTTGGGAGAAACTTATATTTAAATTGTACCAGCAAGATTTACTATTTTTGAGACCATGGGCAAGTGATTTAATGTTACTAAGCCTTAGTGTTCTCATCTGTAAAATGGAGATAGTAATACTTATAGTATTTCATAGGGTTGTTGCTAGGATCAAATTAGATAATGTGAAAGCATTTTGTGAACCTTAGTGGAACACTATGTAAATGTCAGTTATTATTATTAGTACTTTGGGATAAAAGGGAGATGCCATGTTTTTTTTTTTTAAGATAGATAATGGCAAGAGATTTACTTCTAATCATTTTCCAGACATAGATTTCTAAACATAGCCATAGGTTTTAAGATGTATCAAAGACCTGTTTAGAGCAAGGGTTCTTAACTTTTTTTGTATCATGGACCCCTTTCGCAGTCTGGCTGATCCCTTCTCAGAATGATATTTTTTAAATACGTAAGATAAAATACATAGGATTACAAAGGAAATCAGTTGTGTTGAAATAAAGATGTGTTTTTCCCTCCTAAATTCACAGACCCCCTTAAACTCTATCCATCTACCTTCAACCCCACTTCCTGCTCCCCGCCCCCCCCCAATCAACTTAGACCCGTCAGAGAACACTTGAGACTGAGTGGGAAAGTTACATAAAACTAGTGTGTTTATACTGTAGTAATGTATAACTTAATTCCCTCACTTCTGTTGTTTTTTGTTACTTTCACCACTTAATATTTATATGAAATAGATGTAATACTTTATAGGTTACTTTATCTTTGAATACTGACCGTTCATAGTAACGAGAATCACGCTGTAGTTATTTTGTAGTTAAAATGATTTGTTTATCCTCTGAAATCGCACTCTGATGTCTCATGGTGGCATTGAGGTCACTCTGAATATAATATAATATAAACTCTGGTAGCCCAAGAAGAGTTCAAGTATGGGCCTGGCAATCAGTAAATGAAGCATTTATTAAGCAAGTACTATATGCTAGACACATAGTACAAATTCTCGCAAAGAATGAACCAATCCTTAATCTTAAGGGCCCTTCTAGTGGTGGAATAACAGCACATAATAAATAAATAAATAAATGACAAATGTAAAGAGAATATGTATAAAGAAATACCAAGTAGACAAATGCATGATATTTAGGGAGAAAGGGCACTAGCACTTGGGAAGATCAGGAAAGTCTTCATGTAGAAGATTATGCATGAACTGCATCTTGAAGGAAAAGAATAATTCTTTAAGGGTGAAATCAAGAAGAGTGCATTCTAGCTAGGCACGGGGCACAGCCAATGCAAAGGAATAGAGATGAAAGATGCAGGGCTATGTGTGAGGAAAAGAGGATAGTATTGGCTGGATCACAGAGTATGAAAGGGGAGAGTTATATAGTGAGGCTGGAAAATTAGATTGGGGCCAGTTGTGAAGGGAAAAGCAGAGAAATTGACTGAGCAGGGGTGTGACATGTTCATATCTGAATTTAAGGAAGATTGGTATTTAAGGAAGATTTTTTGGAAGAAGTGTGGAAGATGGACTAAAGTGGGAGGTCTTTGAAGGAAGGAGAACATGTAGGTGTCCTTTGCAGTAATGTCTGTGAGGTGTGATGAGAACCTGAACTAAGAGGGAGGTGATTTAGGAGACTGCTGCAGTAATCTAGGTGAGAAGTGATGTGGGCTTGTGTGAGTGCAGAAGTGTTGCATGTAAGAGATGTTATGGAGGTAGAAATGGCAAGACTTTGCAGAACTCATTAGATATGTGGAATGAAGGAGAATAAGGATCTGAGAATAGTACCAAACAAGGTGACAGATTGGCCACAGCAACTGATGAAATCTAATTAATAGTTAATAGAAGATTTATGACGTGTGTCATTGGAAAGATTATCTAAATGGACACAATCCCTAATGCTTCAAAGTATTGAAAGCAGTTCCTTGTTTCTGTGTCTTATTTCTCAAACTGTAAATTCCTCAAGGGAAGTGATTTTGTCCTAATGTATCTTAGTTATCCTTGTTTTCCTGAAGGGCCTTGGCACAATGCCCAGCACATCCTAGGTACTCAATAGATTTTTTTTTAATTAATGAAAGTGAGAACAGCAAAATCTTATGTTCTGACTGATTCAAATTGAGAATGAAATTAGGTTTTATTGGGCTTCTCTGATGTACAAAGCACTGTGCTAGGTTCTGAGGGGGATACGAAGATGAATTCAGAGCATGATCCCCCTCAGTGGACATTTAGTCTTACGGGCTCTAAAGAGGGAAAGATAAGACATTTGTACAACAATCAGGACATTTAAAGAATGAAATGAAATTTTCCTGTTTCACTTTATGGAAGTATTTAGTTCATTGTAAATTTCATTTTATATATTCTTTTGTGTATATCAAAACCATTTAGACATTAAAATAATGACCCAAATAAAGATAATGTAATATGTAATATAATATTAATAATTTATTTTCAAATTTCTTGTCTTATGTAAGTTACTGTGTTTCAAAAGTAGTCAGATATTATTACTCTTGATCCTTTTGAGAAGTTTTTTCACCTTTAGTAAAATATTTTTAAGAAACAGTTGCTGTTCACATGTTTATGTTTTTCTATTTTCTTTCTAGTATTTTTGAGTACAGAACTTCAAGCTTTACGGATTTTGCAGAAGAAGAAGCTCAAAGGTTCGCAATTGGACAAAAACAATGAAATTTACCAGGAAGTGCAAGCTATCTGTGATACCCTGTGCTTACCAAAATCAACCACTTCTGACATTCCAGTTGTGCTAAGCCATGTAGAATCAAAGGTACTAATTTTAAATAGTTCTCTGAAGTATTAAGGGAAAAAAATCTAACTACATTTATATTTAAAATTGCATATACATATATTTTATTAAGAGATTTGCTAATAGAGATCTCATCTTTATGTTGGTTTCTGTCCTAATAATTATTTCTTCTACCTTGACAGTGGAATTTTCAAACCAGTATTTTCCCCCTGCATGATCTGTAAATTTACACATTAGATTTAGCTTAAGAGATTATTTATAAAGCATTTACTATGTGTTAGGAATTGTGCTAAGCACTAGGATTACAAATATATGCACAATGTATAGTCCTCATTCTCAAGGAGCTTATATTCTTTTTTTTTTAAATTTATTTTTAGTTTTCAACATTCACTTCCATAAGCTTTTGAGTTTTAAATTTTCTCCCCCTCCTTCCTCTCCTCCCTCCCCAAGGAGGTATGCAATCTGATATAGGCTCTACATATAAACATATTTTCACGTTAGTCATGTTGTAAAGAAGAATTAGAACCAATGGGAGAAACCACAAGAAAGAAGAAACAAAACAAAACAGAAGGAAAAAAAAGAGCAAATAGTATGCTTTGATCTGCATTCAGACTCCATAGTTCTTTCTCTGGATGTGGATAGCATTTTCCATCATAAGGCCTTTGGAGATGTCTTAGATCCTTGCATTGCTGCGAAGAGCTACGTCTATCAAAGTTAGTCGTCGCACAACGTGGCTGTTACTGTGTACAACGTTCAAGGAGCTTATATTCTAACATGGGAAGACAACACATAAAAGATATATAGAGAGCATAGAAAATAATCTCAGAGGGAAAGGCGCTAGCATCTGGAAGAACCAGGAATGACCTTCTGCAGAAGGTGAAATTTGATCTGAGTCTTGAAGGAAGCCAGGAATGCTAAAAGACCTCTGTGGATGGAAGAAGAGCACTCTAGGCATGAGGGACAGCCAGTGCAAAGCCATGGATATAAGAGATGGAGTGACAGGTTTGAAGAACAGCAAGTAGTACAGTGACCTTGGTTTGTAGAGTGTACAAAGATGAGTAAAGTGTGAGAAGACTATAAAGATATGAAGGAGCCAGGTGATGAAGGGATTTAAATGTGTACCATCTCTGTAGTGATGAAGGAGATAGTGGGGGGATATGTCTAAGTGATATGAAAAAATGAGAAGGGAGAGCTTTCAGTGAATGGTCATAATGAAGCGTGGAGTATGAAACAAAGTTCTCAGCTTAGAGGGTGAGGGAAGAAGGTGCTATGGGAGGTTTGGGGAGGGTTGAGAAGGTTTGGAAAAGTCACTGTGATGAATGGGATAATCACTTAATGAGAGAGGAGTAGAATGATTGCCTTGCTATAATGGTGGCCAAGTTGAGATTGTATAGCATAGATTTGTAGTGGGTTAGTGGACATAGTTTCTTGGTTTCTTCCAGCTCTGTTCAACAGCACAAAAATAGGAGCCAAGGAGACAGATGTCATCCATGATTGGGCTTTGGCTAAGTGTGATTGGCAATAGGACAAGGGGGCAGGTGATCCAAGAGTAAGGGATAGTGTGGCATTGACATGGTGTTCCCTAAAGGGTCCATATAGGGAGGGGAGAAGAGCATAGCCAGTGCAGGGGAGGTGGTCTGGGAAATAAATGAGGGAAATGAGGTCATGATAAGGATGAAGAAAAGGTTTGGGGTTATAAGGCAGAGAGAAAGATTATGATCAGATGAAAGAATTTTGGAGTTCACAATTATGAGAGTAGAACACTTGTGGGTGATGACAAAATCAAGGATATGACCATTTCTCTGTGTAGCTGAGGTGGTGTTGAGAAGTGGGAATTAAGTTGACTCAGGACCTGGGAAATTAGGGTATTTAAAAGAGTATCAATACATATGTTGAAGTTTCTGAGTATAAGGGCATGATCTGGGGGACAAGAGAGAGACTGAACCAGGCCTTGAATTCATTGAAGAATGAAGGAAATATTCTGGGGGTTTAATAGATAATGGCCTCAGAATATGAATTGGGGACAAATGTGGATAGCATCAACCTCATATAGGGAGAAGTTGCTGATCAGTTGTGGTAGAGGGACAAGCTGGAAAGGGCAGTGGGGAGCAAAGGTTATTTCAATTCCACCACTGTGTCTTGATGGGCCAGGAAGTAAGGAAAAAGTATAGTTAGTCTTGGAAAGGATGGCCTGGGATACAGTGTCATCAGAAGGAGCCAACTCTCAGTGCTAGAAGATGGCGGAGGCAGTGAGAAAGGAAAGGGTTTAAGATGAAAGGAAGTTTGTCATTTGTAAAGTAGTCATTCCAGATAGCACAGTAGAAGGAGCAGACAGATCAGGAGTAGGACATCGTGGAGATACGGTTGAGGTGGACAGGAAGACAGTGGCCATTTGGGATTGGGGAATGACATTGGTATATCAGTGGGAAGGAGGGAGTTCAAAATAACTAGGATTGAGAGATTTAGGCATTTGATGCTGTAAGCATACAAGAGTGAGTCCAAGTAGTTTACCACCGTTTGGAGACGAGGCGTTGAGATACACGTGTGGTTATATTGTTTGAAGTCTGGCTTCATGGCAGGTGGTGATATGTCTTGTGAAACCTCAGGAGGACTGTCTCACTGCAGGCAGGAAGAGGAATCCATACAGAAGGCAAAGGGATCTTGTCCTGGGACAGACTGGCACTGGAGAAAGCCTCTGAGGCCAGGAAGTGAGAGGTAGGTGGTGTTGCCTGGACCAGGCATTGGAGGTGGCCCCAGGGCAAGGCCTAGAGAAAGCTGTAACCATATGACTACAGGATTTTTCAGCTATTGAAAAGCGCTGATGTTCCCTCATTCAGTGCTTCCCTCTGGCCCTCCAGTTTAAGTCAACAGGTATTTACTAAGTGCTTACTAAAAGCCAGACATTATGCGTCCTCAAGGGATAAGTAAAGTCCTTGTCCCTCAAAGAACTCACATTCTCATGGGGGAGACTACATGCAAATAACCTTGTACATTAAAGGTATATGCGGGCATGGAGGACAGCCAGTGAAAAGAAACAGTCTGGATATGGAGTGTCTTGGTGTGAGAAGGAACAGTAAGGAGAGAAGGGTTGCTGGATTGTAGAGTAGGGGGAGAAAGTGTAAAGAAATCAGAAAGTTAGAGGCCAGGTCGTGAAGAACTTCAAATGCCAAACATAAGGTTTTATGTTTGATCCTCAAAGTCCTGTGGAGCCACTTGAATTTATTGGGGGCCATAAAGGTTGACGTCATATAGTCTGATCTGCACTTTATTTAGGAAGATCACTTTGGCACCTGAGTGGAGCATGGATTGTCGTGGGGAGAGACTCAAGCAGCAAGACTAACCAGAAAGCAATTAAAAGTAATTGAGACGTGAAGTGGCTGTGTCAGAAGAGAAGGGCCTGTGGTGCAGTCGATCAAGCATAGACCTGAGTTCATGTCTTGCCTTAGACACTTACTAGCTGTATGACCTGGGCAAATCACTCCACCTCTCAGATTGATTTTCATCTGTAAAATGGAAATAATAGCACTGACCTCACAGGTTTATTGTGAGGATCAAATGAGATAATGTATGTAATGTGTTTTTTAAGACTTAGAGTGGAAGTGTTGGCTAATATTATACCCCACTATATGCACAAGTGACCTCATTTTATCCTGTCATCTCCAGCATATTGCCTTCTCAGTCATCTGCACTCTTGCTAATCTTCAGTCCCGTCCTGTGTATTGGCTGCTTACCTACTGCTTACGACCATGCGCATGTCCCTTCTGTCCTCAAAAAAACCATTACTTCCTCCATCCATCTTTGCTAGCTGCCATCCTCCTATATCGCTCAATCTTTTTGTGGCTGTGCCTCCTTCCTTCTCTGTAGTCTGTCTTCCGACCTCTTCAGTCATCCAAAAGTACTTTCCAAATTTACCAGTGATTTCTTAAATGCCAAAACTAACGGCCTTTTCTCAGTCTTCATCTTTCTTGACCTCTCTGCAGTCTTTGACACTGTCCATCACACTTTTCTCCTAGATACTCTCTTCTCTAGGTTTTTGTGACACTGTTCTCTCCTGTTTCTGGTCCTGTCTGTAGGACTACTCCTTCTTAGTCTCTTTTGCTCGATCTTCATGTCATACCTGCTAACACTGGATGTCCCCCAGAACTGTCTTCTGAGCTGTTTTCTCTTCTCCCAGGTCTCATTACCTCCCATGGATTTAACTAACATCTCTGTGCAAATGATTCTCAGATCTTTTTGTCTCTGATCTTATATCTTAAGCTACTTAATTGATTGGATGTCTTGTAGCCATATTAAACTCAACATGGCTACAACTGAATACATTATATCTCTTCTCTCTCCCCCTGCTCCCCAACCTTCCCTTCTTCCCAATTTTTCCCTGACTGTTGAGGTACTACCATCCTTCCAGTCACACAGGCTTACAACCTAGGTGTCATCCCTGAAACCAGGTTTTTTCACCATTCATATCCAATTACTTGTCAAGTCCTATCAGTTCTACCTCAGCAACATCTCCTGTGCCTCCTTCTCTCTTACACTGCCACCACCCTGGTACAGACCCTCATCACCTCAGCCCTGGGTGGTTGCAGTAGCCTGCTGGTGGCACTCTCTGCCTCTGGTCTCTCCCCATTCCAGTTTGTCCTTAGCTTAGCTGTCAGATTGATTGTCCTTAAGCGCAAACCCAGCCATGTCACCTTCTCCTTCCATCAGTTCTGTTGGCTTCCTTTTGCCTTTCAGATCAAATACAAAATCTTGTACTTAGCTTCTAAAACCCTTCCTAGCTTGGGTCCTTTTGACTTTCCTAGTCTTCTTATACCTTCTTGCCCACCACAGACTTTGGGATCTCCTGGGTGTTCTTTATATTAAATTCTCCGTCTTCTAACTCTGGGCTTTTGCACTGGTTCTTCTTTATGCCTGGAACTCTCTCCTCAGCTCTTCCTCTTGGCTTCCTTCAAGTCTCAGCTTAAGCCCCACCTTCTAGAAGAAACTTTTCCTTAATCTTTGTGCCTTCCCTTGAAGATTACCCCCAATTTATCCTGCCTGTATCTCATTTGTATATAGTTGTTTGCATGTTGTCTCTCTCTCTCTCTCTCTTATTAGACTGTGAGCTCCTCAAGAGCATGTTTTTTGCTTTTCTTTGTATTTCCAGAGTTCAACACAGTGCCTAGCACATAATAGGCACTTAGTAAATGATTGTTGGTTTGACTTGAACAAGTAGGATAACAAGGAAAGAGCAGGGCCATGAAAACCTAGAGAGAAGAAAGAATCAAGGAGAAGAGGCAATGATAGTGTCAGATGGTCCACAGAAATCAAGAAAGAGGAGGGTTGAGTGGTTCAGTGGTTGAGGCCATTGAATTTGGCAATTAAAAGAGCATTTGTCACTTTGGAAAGAGTAGTTTCAGTGGAATGATGAATGGAAGCTAGACTATAGAGAGCAAGGGGGATGCAGGTGTAGCCATCAATGGTAGATGACCCCCTCCAGGAATTTAGTTTTAAAAGGGAAGAGAGATATAGGACAATAGCTAGTGGGGGTGGTTGGATCAAGGAACGGATTTTTGAAGATGGGGAACATGGATGTGTTTGTAGACAGTAGGGAAGCAGCCAGTAGATTAGAGTGAGATTGAAAATTAATGAGAGAGTGGGAGTGATTGAGAAGAACAATCTTTTGGAAAAGACAAGATAAAATGGGGTTGAGGCTGCGTGTAAAATGGTTGGCATTGGCAAGGAGAAAAGCTACCTCTACATTTGAGATAGAGGAAATGGAGTGGGAGAATTCATCTGAATAATGTGAGATGACAGGGACAGAAGGGAGAGATCTCATCAAATGGCTTCAGTTTGTTCAGTGAACTTCCTTTAGTGCCACCTTTTATGTGAAACCATTGCTGATCTCCTCTCCTTAACTGCTAGTGACTACCTTACAAAATCACCTTGGATTTAATCAGTTAATTAGTAATTAATTAGCTTTGTACATATTTCATATGTACATATATGTGGTCTCTCCCTATAGAATGTAAGCTTCTTGAGGGCAGGAATTGTTTCACTTTTGTCATTGGTACCCATGTACCCAGTGCCTGGCACATGATAGACTCTTAATATAGGTTTGTTGATTGATTTGAGAGTGGTCATAAACTATAGCCTTTATATCTGAGTATTAATATACCACAATTGCTGTCTCTCCTGTAATAAACAGAAACTCCAGTGCTTTACAGCATTTAAATCAAATATAGATCTAAAATGTGTGTTAGTTATTAAGTTATAATTGAGTTCTTGTGGAGAACTAACATTGGTTCCTTATCAGGAAGCTAAGTAGGTGTGCTGTGGTCTCCTTCAATTTAACATTTTTAGTCAGCTGTGATATTATGGGATAAGAATGGAAGGTTGTTTTCTTCCCTCAAAGAGTAGGAGTAACTTTACAAAATGGGAAGCTATCCAGAGGATAGCATTCATTCATTCCAGTGATAATTTGTATAGTTGGACCACTTTCTTCCCTGGCACCTTGCAATTGGTAACTGGCTGTAAACATTTCTTGCAGTTTTGAAACTAACATTTCTTTTAGATTGTTAAAGGTCTACAATTAAAAGGAGGGTGAACCCTGCAGAGGCTGTCATTTCTCAAAGCCTTTTTTCTTCATGGTAAATTATGATTGCTATTTGACCCCTAGTGTTGTTAAAGAAAAAGAGTTCCTAATTTCCTGTTTTCTAAATTACATCTCATAGTTTGAATCAGTGGCTGTAAGATCTCTTTGGCATTTCAATAGTTTTGCAAACAAAAATGTAATGTGTATTCAGTGGTCTAGGCAAACAGTTAACATATAAGCAGAGAGACTGTACTTCATGTGCAGGGCTCCCCCATGTGGTTAAAATTTGCATTCATCTTATTAAAATGTGAAAGCTGAATGTTTGATGTATGTGAATTATGTTTAATGAGGGGAGAAAAGTTACCTGTCAAAAATTTCTGTAAAACTTTGGGATTAAACCAGTATACGAAGTGGTTAGTATGTGATTTTAAAAATTAAAAATCCAAAATTAATGATAATCTTAAAAACTCTAGAATTTTATATATTCCCTGTAGTCTGTCTCCTTACCAGACATTTCTATAATTCCATATATAAATGGCATCTTTTAATTATGGAGGAGACTACAGCCTGTAGTCTTGAAATAAATTAGCATTTCTTTGAAGAAGTACTTATATTACAGTGATAAGTTTTCATAATATATAAAAGCACCCTGATAATGCTCTTCTGGTTAATCAAGCTTTTAATTATACATATCATCAAACTTGTCTAATTTTCAGAAGAAAACCTTGAATAAGAAGTAAGATTGTGAGTTTTAAGGGCATGTGTTTTTCACAACGAACGTGTTTTTGTGTATTTCAGATGAAAGATATTCTCTCAAAAGTTCAAAATAACCACATAGGAAAACCATTGCTGAAAGCGGATTTAAGTCCAGAACAGGCGGTAAAATCTTTTTTTGGGGGGGTTTATCTAATTAAATAAGTACGTATGATTTAATTTTCCAAATAGTCACCCAAATTTTGAAGTGTTACTTGTTTATATGACTTTGGTGAGTAAAACTTAAATTGAGACACTGTGGAATGGTGGATTTTTATTCATAATGTCAATTGTTAGTTAAAACAACTTGTCCTTCAAACATTTTTATAGCTCCTAAAGTGATAATACTGATATTACGTTATATAAACACAAGCAAAAAATGCTTGGCTTTCTTCTCTTCTGTAGGTTACAGAGGAAGCAGGTTTTTATATGACTTAAGATGTTTGACCAAAGATAGATTTAACACTAGTGGAAAGAAATAGTTTGCACAGTACTTAGGCTGTAGGAGCATAAATCTAGACCTGTGAAGGCCCTCAGGGCCACTAGGCTAATCTCATTTCACAAATAAGGAATGTAAGACCCAGGGAGGATAAGTGACTTCCCGTGGTTATATAGGCAGTATGCATGAGTGGTGGGCTCTGAGCCTAGATCCTCAGACCCCAGAGCCAGTATGCTTTATATACTGTTTATTTAAATGGTTTATCTTCAAGGCTTATTCAGTGGCACTAGGGAAGGACATTAAGTGGGACATAAAGTGAGGTGAATCAATCCATAATTGTTTCTTATAATTTCTTATTTGTTACCATTTAAAACTGGTCACTTTTATTATTTAAATATTTTAGGAACGATTGGAAAGGATCAATGATGCTCTCTGCTGTGAATATGAATGCCGGCGGCGGATGTTAATGAAGCGATTAGATGTTACGGTTCAGTCCTTTGGATGGTCTGATAGAGCCAAGGTAAGGATGCTTTCTCATATGTGCCCTGTAGATGGTAGCCTGTAACAGTTCTCTAAGCAGTATCATGTAAGTATCTGTTAATTATATTTATGGGCTAACAAAAATTGCTTGAGTATTCACCCACTGGCCATACTCTTTTTTTTTTTTAAATTGGCAATTGCCACGAATCAGGGCTATTTTATTGTATTCTTGCATGTCTAGACTTAGGAAAACAAAAGAGAATATGTTTATAATACAGGTTAAATCTAAAAATCTCCAATGAGTACAGATTTTTCCAATGATATTGCCATTAAACATTTAACAGCACAAGCCCTTCACCCCTTTAGCAGTCTGTTAAAGCCTTTTGATCCCATCTCAGAATAAAGCTTTCAGATTCACAAAGTAAAATGCATAGAATTCAAAGGAGATCAATTATATTAACATGGTTATCAAAATATTTAGAGAAAGTTAAGGACATCAAGTCAAACACTCTTTTATTTTACATGTGAAGGAACTCAGGTCCAGGAAGGTTAAGGCTGCTATAAATAGTATGCACAAAAGTAAAATTTGAATCCTGATCCTTTAAATCCAGTTCCAGGGTGGCCTGACTCTTAAATCCTAATGATGATCGCATTTTGAAGTAGTTGTTTTCTTCATCCCTCTCAAAAGCAAAAACCTAAATTTAAAAAAAAATTTAAAAGGTGAGATGAATATATCTGATATACAATAACTACAGCTGAATCCACACATTTAAAAAGATGCCTCCTGTGATTATAGAGGAGTTAAGTGACTTGGCCATGGTCATATGAGTACCGATTGGCAGAGCCAGGATTCACACCTAACTCCTTTGACTCAAAATCCAGCCTTCTTTTCATTGCACCCCTTTGCCTCCCAAGCCCTGCACAAGGTAACAACCTCATGAAATAACTTTGGAGAACAAATTCTTAAGAGACTGTATTTCCCCTCCCTCTTCCTCTGGACATACTTTGTATTCCAGGTGCAGGCAGCGCAAACAGTCTCATGAACTATGTTTAAAGGTCCAGTTGTGGGTGTCGTGTCGTTCTCCCTCCCCCCCCATGACTCTACTTGAACCCTTACTTACTCCGCAGGAGGTAGCAGGCACTTATTCTGTCTAACCACCACAAAGGAAAGGTAGCATAACTAGAACATATGGACAGCCAGTGCTGGGGTGTAATCAGCTAGAGGAGAAAAGAGCACCTATCTCTTAGGGAAAGGGGGAACACTGCAATATTGCCAATGTTAATTTATAGTTTTAATGCTATACCAAATCAAACTATTAAAGGGATGCTTTACATATCTTGGTAAAATAACAATTCATTTGGAGAAACAAAAGAGCTAGAATGTTAGAAATATTGAAAAAAAAAAGTAGGAACAAAAGGAATAGGAATTCCAGACAAACTAAGTTATAATGTAGCAGTTATTAAGCCATTTCTTATTGATTTAAAAATAGAGGCGATCAGTGGAATCGACTAAACAAGAGAAAATCAGGAATAATGAAACTTAAGAATGTGGACTAACAGGAGATGTGGTCATTCTCTCCCCCACAACAACGTCAAAAAGATGTAGAAAACACATTTGGCCAAGTCCTGATCAGGAAATCGGGGGAAAAAATCATGTTAAGTCATTTTTCCAACTCAGGTCAGCATAAAGATGACCGACATGTCTGCAGACATTGGGGTCTAGCTAGGAGTGGTATACAGTACCTATCAGTACAGAAACTAAAAGATAATAGAAGTTGTGCACGAGGTCAAGAAGAGGTTCCAGACCCATACACAAGGTCCTGACCTTATTCAGAATACAAGAACAGGTATCAGTTGGCAGGTTTGTTTCTCACAACCTACTTCTGAGTCACAGATGTGAGGTGGACTGAGAGGAGAACTGTACCTTAGGGGTAGAGTTCTGTGGTGAAGGGTTATTGCAAGCACTAGGCTGTGTACACAGCAAATTGAGAAGCAAGCAATAGCTGTGTGACTGACTTCAGGAACAGAGTGTGGTCTCAGTTCCAGCTTCTAGACCAATCTGAAGCCTGCAGCAGAGTAACCAAGGCGGTTATCCCAGAATAAAGGTGAGCCTATAGTTCTGTCACTCTGAATCTGATAGTGGTTGAGTCCAGAAAGAATTTAATGGAGCTCTAACAGAGACAAGCCCACAGGTGTGTTGTTCAGACCTAAACCCAGGTAAGAAACTTGCAGATTTCAGACCCAGAGGGCTACAGGCAGAATGAAACCATTTTGAGAACACTTAAAACTTGCAGTTGTCCCTGAGAACATGGAATAATACAATACTCAACGTCCCAGGGAAGCAGCAGCAGAATCCAAGAGGACACAAGTTTAACCCAGATATTCCCACCAGGAGTACACAGAGCCTGGCCCTGACATAAAGTCAGAAAGTAGATGGGAAGAATGAGCAAACAAAAAATAATTCTACTATGAAGAGTCATTATGGTAACAGGACCATTCAAGACACAGATCCAGAAGAAAATGGCTCCAAAATATCTATAAGAAATGTCTCAAAGAAAAGCACAGATTGGACACAAATTCATTTAGAAATCCTGGGAGAGATGGAGCAAGCATTACAGAGTTTAAACAGTATTTTTATAAATGAAGTAGAGTGCACAAGAAAAAATTGGGTAAAAGAATCAGTGCTATGGGAAGAAAGGATTGGTTAGAGAATTAACAGCTTGGCACAAGAGAGTGTAAAATCTTACTGGAAAAACAAACTTCCAGAACGTTAGAGTGAATCAGATAAAAGCTAATGACTCCGTAAGACAACAAGAATTAGAAACAAAGTTAAAAGATTGAAAAAACAGAAAAAAATGTAATAGCAGAAAGGAATTGACCTGGAAAATAAATTGAGGAGAGAAAATTTAAGAATCACTGGACTGAGAGCCATGACCAAAAAAAAGATATACATCATATTTCAAGAAATCATAAAAGAAAATTGCCTAAATTTCTTAGAACCAGAGGGAAAATGAAAATTAAAAGAATCCACCAGTCACTTTCTGGAAGAAACCCTAAAATGAAAATTCCCAGGCACATTATCATCAAAATAAGAAGAAAAAGCTTCAGGGTCAAAGAAAAAATGCTGCATGCAAATACAGAAAGAATTCAAGTCCTGGAAATCCATAATTAGCATTACACACGAGTTAGCAGCCACGATGATAAAGGAATGTAGAGCTTGGAATACAGCATTTCCCAAGTCAAAAGTTCTCTTACCACCACCCAGCCCAACTGAGTATAATCCAAGAGGGGGGAAGATGGATCTTTAATAAGATAGTGGCCTTTCAGGCATTTCTGATGAAAAGATAAGAGCTGCATAGAATCTTTGGAATACCCAGGAGTCAAGAGAAACATAAAATGGTGAACATGAGCAGGCAATCATGAGGGACTAAACAAGGGAAGGGTTACATTCTAACATAGGGAGATGATACATGTGTCCTCTCAGCACCCTAAATTCTCAGGGGTCATAGAGGGGCGTGGGAGTAGTTTTGTCATGCTTTGATAATCTTAAAAGAGTGTGGGGAAGGGAGGGGGAAAAGGAGTACAATGGACTGGGTGGGAGAGGAAGAGGAGCCAGCAACACTTGAACTTCACTCATCTGAACTGGTCAGAGGAGGGAAGAATACATAGACTCACAGAGTTGAGTACAGAAATTTATTCACCCAATAGCAGAAACAAGTGGAGAAGTGAAGGGGGTGGTAAAGAAAGGTAAATTAAAAGGATTAGTTCTAATCAAAACGAATTAGCTAAAGAGGATCTCTAATGAATTTTAAAAGAAAGGATAAGAACCTGTGGTTTAGCCCTAGGAGAAGGAAAGAGAAGGGCAGTGAGCAAAAGCCTGTTGCAACAAACTTAGAGCCCTGGCGCTGAACACGGTACTCTCTTTAAAAGAGAGAGTGAGGAACGGAAGGAAAATCGTAAGAGAATAGTATGGAGGGAAGCACAAACTTAATAACCATAGCCAGTAACCAAAACTGTTTTGTATAAACAAATAAAGCTAAAAATAGAAGAGAAGCAGGTAAATGAGAAAAAATCTTGGCAATAAATTTCTCTGTTAAAGTACTTACAGAGAACTCAATTCGAATTTTTAAGAATAACAGCTGTTCTACAAATGATAAATGGTCAGAGAATATGAATAAGTAGTTATCAGAGGAAGGAATCCAGACTGTTAATAGCCATATAAAAATGTTCTAAATCATTAATAATTTGATATATGTGAATTAAAACAGCTCTGAGATTCTGTCTCCCATCCATTGTATTGCTAAAGTTCATAAAAAAAGGAAATGGCAAATACTGGAAAGTCTGTGGGAAAATAGGTATATTACTGTTGGAGTTGTGAAATGTTCCAGCCATTCTAGGACGCAATTTAGGGCTATTCCCCAAAAGTTATTAAACTGTGCATACCTGTTGACCCAGTGATAGGAGTGGAAAGTCTGTACTCAAAACAGATCACATTTATAGCAGCTCTTTTTGTGGTAACAAAGAATTGGAAACTGAGGGTGTGCTCATCAATTGTGGACTGGCTAAACAAGTCGTGTAGGAATGTGATTTATAGTTAATCAAATTAGATTTTGAGGCAATCACAAAAGATTAAAATAGATAATTTTGATTATATGAAATTGAATAGCTTTTGCACAAAGATAGGGCAGCTGGAATAAGCTGGGAAATCATCATTTGGGGAAAAACCAACTTTGTATCAAATGTCTTGTAATAGTCTGATATCCAAGATATATGGGGAATTAAATATATAATACCGAGAGCCCATTATAATAATATCCATTCTCCAGTGGATATGTAGGCAAAAGATCTGAGCAGTTACCAAGTAAATTGTGAACTGTTAATCATATGAAAGATTGTGCCAAATCACTAAAAAGAGAAATGCATATCAAAACCTATCTGAGATTTTACCTCATAAGCAACAGATTGGGCAAAGATGATAAAAGGTGGGGAATAGTCAATTTTGGATCAGCTTCAAAAAAGCCACACTAATAAATTATTGAT